AGTCAGTCCTTTTCTAAAGCAGGTGCATTTAAATGTAGTTACATAAGACAAAATCTTCAGTACATCAGCAAGCAAGAAAATAGAAATGTTGATTGACATTTGTTCCTGTATAACATCTAAGTTGTAAAACTAATAAAAGTGATTTCTTTAGGGGTTATGTTGCATCAGGTGAATAGTGGATAATTTCAAATTTTATTTCCTATGGGGAATGTTTCTAATTTGCTTCTGATAATACTAGTCTTTATAATGTGCTTTTAACTTCTTTGGGGAAAAGATACCATACAATTGTAGAATACTTGTTGTCAGGTTTATTTTCTTCTTGTAAATAGCAATAAGGGTTTAATAAGATATTTCATCTTTTTTATAAGCTCTTTAGATCTTTATGCTATGTCATAATTTCATAAACTTACTATGCTCTTACAATCACACGCAATTTATAAAACTTGTGGGAAATTTGAGAAGAATGAGTTTGATAAATTGAAAACATAAAGTAATTGAAGATTACAACACATTTTGAAGCCACAGTTATTCCAGATATTCCACAGTGACAAGAAATAGGTGATTACTCTTGTTTATAAATGTCATGCTCCTATTTCTTTGCCTTCCCTTGCCTAATTACTAATAACACAGATCTTCCCCTGGTGGTACTTCCCAAGAACTGCAGGTCCTCAGAAGGCAATTTCATGCAAATATATCCGTAACAAATTGCCCTCCGGGCACAAGTCAGTAGTTGTGCAGTTATAAAATATCTGCTTGTAAACCACTGGAAGAAAATCTTTTAAGCCCTATTTAGGTAAAGAAAACTTCAATAAGTTTCTTACCAACCAACAATAATAGTGAGGATTCAAAATAACTAAGGTTTTGTTAATTATCGTCTATGTAATGCAGTGCTAAGCATATTATAAGCATTGTTTGTTGTAACATTCCAACGAAGCAGCCATCATTTTCCCCACTTTACAAGTGGAAAAGACTGAGGCTTAGAAAATGTGTCGGTTAGTATTTTAATTCCAAGCAATATACACTGACTCTAAGTAAATAATAATAATATAAAATGGGATAAGAGGGAAAGGAAAATTCTGGTGGCTCATTGACTTGAAGAGAGAGCCGAATGACTCTAGGAAGAACAGAAATCAAGGCAGGTCTGGGAATCTCAGTAGAGGGAGTGGTAGATTTTATTTCTAAGGCAGAGTTCCCCAAAGTCTGGTCTCCATGAAGAATGCTGATTCATGAACCCCTACTTCAGACTGGCGAGCTGACTTAGAACCTCCAAGAGTGATATCCAGAAAGTTTAACACGTTTCCCAAATGATTCTTATCTTCTCTGAGGTTAAAGATGACTCACTGCTTTCGGCCATCTCCATGATCTACTCAATTTAAAAATTACCAGGAGGGTAGGACTGATTGGTCCTGGATAGGTGAACTTCTCACTCCTTTGGTAGAGCTTATGGTGTATGTCAGGGGGCAAGGGTTTCCCTGGACTGACATCGCTGTGAGAATCACACTATTCAGGGGTGGGGTAGTACCCTAAAGGAGGTGATGTTAAGAAGATATCCAATCTAAGATGGCTCCAGAAAGAAGCAGTAAGACAGGGAAATATGTTCATGACATTCAAAAATATTTGGCAAAAAAGTGAAAAAAATGTAATTATGCTAAAGTCTATAAAAAGATGCAACCAGCTGTCGTCAAATGTGACTCAGTTTGAAGAGGTTGAATTGTCCTAGTTTCAATGAGCCAAAAGGAAGATAAATATACAGGTAATTGCCAAGGCCAAAATTACAAAAAGACACATTCAGCTTATTAAGGAAATGGTGAGAAAAGAAAGCAAATCTCTTCAGAAGTTATTTCCATTTTATGTGCGAGAAAACAGGGTCTCACGTAAGGAAAAGGATTTGTCTGATGTCCTCCTCCCCTTGGGCCTGTTCTACTTGCCATATGCCTCCTGGATTCTCACCCACATTGCTAATTAGTTTCCTCTTGAAATATGCTGAAGAATAGTGTGGACTAGTTAAAAGATGCTCATTCTCTCTATAAATTTTAGTTTCCTCTATGTTTTTATTATTTATAATTTTACTCTGTTATTTTTTGTAGTGTTTGATGAGTACAAAAGGATATCACAGAAGGATATTGAACAGAGTATTAAATCTGAAACATCTGGTAGCTTTGAAGATGCTCTGCTGGCCATAGGTAAGCTGTTAATGGGTAAAGAGTGGAGAAACAAATGTTTATAGACTTTCCTCCTTGTTATGAGTTTGTTGTTATAGGATGTAGATTTTTATTTTCAGGGATAAAAAAAAAATTGTTTAAATCACTCATGATATACAGAATTTTGTAATAAGAAATATTATATACAACCTGATTGTTATTATACCATGTGGCTTTATATATTTTATATCCTCTGTGCCTTTTTAATCACAGGATAAGGGAAAGATAATTCTGTACTAGCTGTTTCTTGCAAGTCCATGAATGGTTAGAACAAGTAACTGTTCATATGGTAGACAAGATAATCATTTTGAAACCATATGCTTCCCTTTGCTTTAATGGTCTTTATTAATCACTTCTCCAGGAATTTGATAATAAATTGAGGGTACTTCCCATCTGTGAAAATGTTTTCAAAAATAGCCTATGTTCATAAAACATTCTTTGGCTAAAATTTTTCTGAGAAAGCGATCAACAGATACTACTTCATACCTCGTAGAAACAGAGGGAACAACTGTCACTTTTTCTCATAGATTTTATCTGTAATCTTTTCATTTTTTTTATCTCTTGACAGTAAAGTGCATGAGGAACAAATCTGCATATTTTGCTGAAAGGCTTTATAAATCTATGAAGGTAAATGACCTCATTTTTGCATCTGAATGACTCTGACATGTCTTGCGTTCGCCTTCATATGTTTACTTATATCTCCCACACAGATTAGCAAAATCAGTCTGAGATATTCAGTTCAATTTATTAAATATTTCACTGAGTGCCTGCTAATAACAACACTAGATAATATTTATTGAGTACTTATGCATGATCATTGTTCCTAATGTTTTATACCTATAGGTCAATTTTATTTCCACAACAGCTATATGGGGCAGGTACCGTTCTCAACCCCCATTTTACAGATGAGAAAACTGATGCATAGAGAAGATAGGCAATTTGCCCAGGGTCCTCAATGAAGAAGTAATGGAGAAGGAATGCAACACTGGCACTTGGCTTCAGGGCCCAAGCTCCTAACCATGCATTGTACTCTGTGCATGCATCCTTGCTGGGAACTGTGGGAGGTTCAGGAAAGATCAAAATGTAGTTCTTGCTCTCAGAGAGCTTCTAACCTTGAGGGGAAGGCAGGTATGTGCAAAACACCAATAAGAACAAAATAGGATGTAAGACAGTAGTTGAGGATCCAGATATTGTAAGAACACAGAAGAAAGGGTATTTTTTATTTGTTTGTTTGTTTGTTTGTTTGTTTGTTTAGGGAGTGAGGATCAGAAAAGAATATATAAAGAAATTGTTATGTTTGAGCAAGGCCTTAAAGGAAGTTTTACATAGGAGGATTTTACATGGGAGGAAAGATGGTAAGGCTGGGGAGGGAAGGATGACACTGGGGAAAGGAATCATTGTGGGTAAGACCGGCAGGCTGGAGAACACAGGATATGTCTCTAGAATGACACAGAGTGGTCTCCTCTGGTCAGAACACCGAGTATTGAAAAGGTAAGTTGTTGGAAGCCTTGAACACCATGGCGAGGAATGATATTCCACAGGCCTCTAAGATTATGGTACAAAGGATGTCATCAGGAGAGTCATATGTAGTTTTACCTTGACAGACAAAAGAAGAGCACTCTCTGGAAACCAGCTAGTTTATATGTGGGCATCTTGTTTTCTTCTTTAGGGTTTGGGCACTGATGATGATACCCTTATCAGAGTGATGGTTTCCCGGGCGGAGATTGACATGATGGACATCCGGGCAAACTTCAAGAGGCTCTACGGGAAGTCTCTGTACTCCTTCATCAAGGTAGGTCACTGAAGCCTGGTCTTGGCCCAGGGGAACGCTCTGATGAAAGGACGGGGTTCTGACCTAGGTATTTAGATACTTCTTACCTGTCCTTGGCAGATATCCTTCCCTTTAAAGATGGTACTCTAATTCAGATAATTCCAGTCTCTCTCCTTTCACGCAGATATTTCAATCTCTGCCAGATTAGAAGCTGGAAGTGTTTGCCTTGTAAATATAGTAATTATTTCATGTTGACCCTAGACAAAGATTATAGTTTAATGAATACATTTAAGAGTACCATATTTTTGTCTACCTGCTTACAAGGAAAGAGAAGCAAACTGAATCAGTCATCTAGAACTCTATCCAGGGCCAGCTGAGGTATGCTTAAAATATGAGAAAGCATGTGAGTTATCCTGAGTTGCTGTTCTTTACCTGGTGCCAGACTTCAAGGTGTCCTAACTTGGCATAGGAGTGATGAGAAGTGATTGACATCCCTGAAAACCCATCCTTACTGGGATTTTGCTTCTTGAGGAAGACAGAAGGGTCTCATGAATATGAAGCCAAGACCCATTTCCCTAGAAGCAGGAGTTGCCTGCACAAAAAACTTCAAATCAAGATTTTATCTGTGAATTAAATACTATGAATCCCACCGAGAGCTTGGAGAGGTAGAACCTGTTAGGTGATTTGAGCTGCAGATTTTCATGAGTATTTTATTCAGGAACTTGTTTCTATTTCTGTACAGCCTATGAGGTAACTTTATTTTGCAGAGTTGAAATATAGCTAGCAGCAACCATTATATGTTTAGGAATTTCTTTAGAGAAAATAAAAGCCCATTAATCCTCAGAATGGGAGAAAATATTTGCAAATAATATCTAAGGGTTTACTATCTAGAATTTATAAAGAACAATTACAACGCACCAAAAAGACAAACGACCTAATTTAAAAACGAGAATGGATCTGAATAGACATTTCTCCAAGGAAGATACACACATGGCAAATAGGCACATGAAAAGATGCTCAGCATCATTAATCATTAGGAAATGCAAATCAAAACCACATTGAAATACCACTTCATACCTACTAGGATGACTACAGTTTTTTTTATGAACTTCTCACCCTAAAAAGGAAAATAATAAATGTCAGTGAGAATATAGAGAAACTAGAACCTCGGACATTGCTGGTGGGAATGTAAAATGGTGCTTCATCAAAAACTTAAAATAACCACATGGCCCAGCAATTCCACTCCCAGATATATACTCAAAATAAATGAAAACAGGAACTCAAACAGATACTTGTACACCGATGTAAACATTATTCACAGTAGCCAAAATGTGGGAACAACCTAAGTGTCCATCAACAGATGAATGGATAAACAAAAGAATGATGTTCCTGAAACATGGATGAACCTTGAAAACATGCTAAGTGAAAAACACTGTATGGTTTCACTTATATGAAATATTTAGAATAGGTAAATTTATGGAGACAGAAAGCAGCTAGAGATTACCAAGGGCTGGAGAAAGAGGGAAAATGGAAAGTTGCTGCTTTCTGGTGACAGAATTTCTGTTTGGGGTGATGAAAGGGTTTTGGAGATAGCAACGAAGGTTGCACAACATCATGAATGTAATTAGCACCACAGAATTATACACTTAAAAATAACTAAAATGGCAAATTTTGTTAAATATTTTACCACAATTTTTAAAAATCTATGAAAGAATCTGAAAAAATTATTTCATGAATTGTGAAAGTACACTAAATATTATATTTTCATTGTATTATTTGTTATTTACATTATTTTATTTACATTTGAATTAATAATATGGCATACTTTTACAGTGTACAATTTATTATATATTACTATTTTTATTAACCAACAGGGGATGACTTAAATAATTTATGGAAAATCCATACAGTGTAGTACTATACAGACACTAAAATGATAGGATACGAAAATATTGATTGGCCTGGGGAAACATCACTATAAATAAATTTATATTACATGTTTGTATTTATATAAATATGTAAATATATATGCACATACACAAACACTGGAAAAGATTAAAACTAAGGAATACATTGCCGGTTCTATAACAATTATCAAAAGAATAGAAATATAAAATATGTAAATAATATTAAAAAATGACAGAAATAAGATAAAAATGTAAGTTACAATAAAAATAAGTAAACTCTCAAATAAGGTAAAAATATAAAGTCCAACCACGCTGTTTATAAGAAACAACTAAAATACAGTGACATGTAAGAAGCTAAAAAAAAGGCTAGAGAAAAGAACATTTTACAAATACAAAAAAGAAAGTAGAGATTACACGATAAGTTAAAAAAAAAAAAAAAAGAATTTAAGGAGAAAAAGCATTAAATGGGAGAAAACAGATCACTTTATATCGATAAAGACAGCAATTCACAACAAAAATTAAATCCTCATGAAATTTTAGGTGTCAAATAGTATTGCATTTAAATTATATAGATAAGAAACTTGAGGCTCCAAAAGAAGACATTGATGGAAATCCTATGCTAGGGAGACTTTAACATACCCTTATCCTTTGGCACATCAGTGAGGCAAAGTATAAACAAGGATAATATTAAGATTTGAATAATAGATATATTAAACTTTGAACCTTGTAAACAGAGATTTCATCTTTTCTAGTGCCCAAGAAGCACTAACAAAAATTGATCTATTAATTAGGCCATGAAAATTTCTATGTAGAAATTATAGCATCTCTGGAAGGCTATTTTGTAACCCATATCAAAAGGCATTAGAAAATGCATGATCGTCAGTCCAGTAATTCCTCTTTTATGAAAATTTATCCTGAGTAAACCATCAAGAAAATGCACAAAAATTTAACTATAATATGCTTATTGCAGCAGTGTTTGTAATAATGCAAAGTTGGAAATAACATAAATATTCAACAATGGGGGGATGATCAAATGAATTATTTTACCTATGCACAGCAGAATACTCTGTAACCATTAAAGAATGATGTAGAAGAATATTTAATGAATTAAAATAGGGAAATATTCAGGCTATATTAAGTAAAAAAACAGAATACAGAAGAATATTACAGTCCCATCACATAGGTCTCTATATGCATATAAAAAAGTCTTAGAGGGATATACACAAACCAAAATATTAAGAATAGTAATCTCTAAATGGTGGAATTATGTATGATTTTTATGTTCTTTAATGTCTTTATTTTCTCCATTAAACAAGTATTAATTTTGTAATATAAATAAATGTTATTTTTTTAAAAACTAAGAAAAATCCAGACAAGCTTGAGAAAGTTAACCTAGATGACTATGAGCGGTATATTCCATTTTAAACTCCATTTATCTGACTAACTTTGCTTCCCTTGTCCCCAGGGTGACACATCTGGAGACTACAGGAAGGTCTTGCTCATCCTCTGTGGAGGAGATGATTAAAATAAAATCCACGAAAGATAAGAGAATAACCAAAACTTTGATTTTTTTTTTAAAACTTTTTTCTACATTGCTATTAGCAATATCTCAGAATGCTTATTTCCAAATTAAAACGCCAACAGATGCCTCCTAAGATATAGGCTGTATTATTATTCATCTATAATTACTCGTTATGATGCTTTAAAGCTGTACTTGCATTTCAAAGCTTATAAAACCTAAAAGGAGCTTTAAAATTAGAAATAATAATGTACTCCATGTTTTTAACAGATCACTTCATTTGTGTTTCACAGAAACTGAAATATATTAAATTATTTCATGTTTTCTTTTTGGTGAAAAACTACTGAAGTGGAAGACTGGAAGACTGTTCTAAAATCACTCTTCTTCCCTAATTCTATTTTTCGAGCGGCTAGTAATTTCTTGATTTGAAATTGTGAGCATCTAGTTAGTAAGAATATTTGTCCAATTTGCTATTTCACATAGTCATAGTTTGAAAGCATCCACAAATGTCCTTTGTTTAGGCTTTATCAATATTGTTAGTTGATCTTCACTAGGTTTGGTGTGAGATACTTCTATGTTAAGATCACTTACTCTCTCCAGATTCAAGTATACCAAAATCACCAATTTATCTGAACAAATTAAATTCTAACTGTGGCTATACAAGTCATATATGTCTGGTTACCAAACATAAATGCTGAACATTCCACAATATTATGGTTAATGTCTTAATCCAGCTTTAAGATGAATGGAAAAAAATTAAGTGTCAAACTAGGTATTCTGGTGATGTTATGATCCTCTAAATTTTACTTAAAGGAAATTTTTTTGTGATAAAAATAATTTTTTGTCATTGGATTTCGTTGATTTGTAGTAATTTATATTTGCACTGTGCCTTTCAACTCTGGAATTATTCCGAAGGTGTATTTGGATTTAGTTCAAAAGTTCAGTTTGTATACAACATGGAAAAATAATTTTAATAAAATGTGTCTTTAAAATGAGATATATTCTTTCTCTTTTTCATTTGTGAGTTTTTTCATTCTGGACACTGAAAGGAGGTATTTTTGAAGGACTTGTATTACTTAGTTTCTATTAGGAACATTAAGAAAAAATAACATAGTCTTATATGCACTGCTGCTGTAAAACTAATGTTCACATATACTAAATGATGTTACTACTTAATGATATAAAATGATATATTTAATTTATTCCCTGAAAATGAGTGATGCTCTCCATTCTACTAAGTAGAACATTTATATTAAATAAGAATATTTGTTCTTTGTTCATTCTATAATATCTATTGTATTTTTGTCAGTAAAATAATAAGGATTTTTTTTTTTCAGTTTGTTTCTACTTACCTCTTATACTCTTATAAGTGCTCGAACTATTGGTGAAAGCTATTTATGTGAATACTTAGTCATTTCAGTTAACTATAGGAAGTAGTACTGCTGGTTCAATACCTACCCAGAGAGTATGGAATTTTATTTTTAAATTACATATGACTTAGCCAAATTTTTTAAACAAATTGCATTTGTTGACTGGAAGCTTTCTAGAAGGCAGGATAAAGCCACCTTGGAGGAATGTTAGTTTGTTCTATTGAACAGGCGTGACATTGGAATATAATTATGAAGCAACTTTGTTTTTCCCTCCCATTGTCCATTTACATTTATTTATTGGGCCTAGTTCTTCTCCTTTTTTTTTAGATGAAAATTCACTCTTAGGTTATAAGTATCATACTGAGCAGTCCCTTAAGGTCATAAAAAAGTGTCATTTCTGTAATTAATTTGTCCAGTTAAAATTCTAAACTTGATTGATAGTTGAAGTTTCTACCCTCATTCAGCTCTGGCCTATTGCCAGCAGGAAGCTGGTGGACTTCCCTTCTTTCTCCACCTAGGCTTTCTTCCATAGCCTACCTCCACTCCCAACCTAGCCAGAGTTGTAGGAGAAGGGAGAGGAAAGGGGAGTTGGAAAGTATTTAGCCGACTGTTAGTGCTGTGGTAGTACATGATCAGCGCTATGAAATGTTGGCAGATACTTAAAGCTGATTCTGATGAGCATTCTCATGGGCTTTTTTATCAACCCCATCACCAGGGAACTACTCGTCTTCCGTTCCTTTGGCAAGGCAAATGCAGTGCTCTTTATTCAGTCCCTAGGAATTTGATGATACTTTCAGGTTCTCTGTGCTGAAGTCTGTCTTTCCACCCAGGCTTCTTGCACAGGCTCTAAGATGATCCCATGCTGGATATCATAGTGGCCCACACTTGTTTCATGGTAAACACTTGCACATCCTTTGTGCTAACATTCTGGATATGCAGGCTGATCTTCTTGCAGCCATCATTCTCTGCTCCTCTCCTAGTCCCTCCCCACAAGCTGCCTCAACTAGGCTCTCTGTTTTGCTTTCTCAGGGTGAGTCAGACACCAAGTCCACTGGGGCCCCCAAACTGCATATACTGCTGATGGCAGTATAAATTGGTGCGATCATTTCAGAGAGCAATTTTACAACAGTTAATAAAGTTCGAAGTTCTCAGCAAATTCATTTCTGGGGATCTAGTTGGTGAATCTCTTGCACATGATGTTCATTGCTGCTCTGTAAGAGCATTGAAGTAGAAACAACCTAATACCTCAGTAAGGGAAAGGATGAACAAAGTATGGGTCATACAACGAGTCATGAAAATTAACTAGAGATTTGTCAATTGGTAAGTTTCAAAAGTATAATTTTGAGGAGAAAATTGCAAAATGATAGGTATAGTATAATTCCATTTAATTATATGTATAAACGTGCAAAAGAAAATATATTGCTAATGGGTATACATATAAGAACATTCATGGGAATCATATATACCATTCCCAGGATAGTGGTCACTGTAGAGGAGGGAGAGAGATGGAGTTGGAGATGAAGCTTCTACCTATAGATATTGTTTTATTTAAAAGAATGAATCAAAGCAAGTATAATCCATCTAAATTTTTATTAAAATTTATCGGTTGTGGTAGGTCCATTTCATATTACTCTGAGTAATTCATTATAATTCATTTAAAATCTTGAATTAGGGATAGTTTCATTATAAAAATTTTATTTAAAAAGTAGGAGGGAGTCAGAAAGTGAAAGCTGCCTGTCCAGAGTTCATAGCAAGGGCTACATACTGTAGGCAGACACCTGTAATATTTGCTCAGATACTTGTAAATTTTGCTCGGGCCTCCAGAAGGCATTTTAAGCCCTGACAGTCCCAGTACAGACCCTATTCAGATGTTCCACTGCCACTGAGTGCGTAGGAAAGGAAAGGAGTGCAGGGAACCTTTACCATAACCCATCTAGGAAAGCGGAGAGTTGATGTTTAAGAAACCCAAGACCCTAGCAAAACTCCACATTCTAGGTCTTCCCCCTAGGAAAGCCTTGCCCCATCTCCGCAGAGCGTAACCCCACCCAGCACGTGGTAACTCCAAGGAAGAACTCAAATAGCACTCTTCTGGGCCCCTAACCTAGCACAAGACCCGGTAGACAACTAGAGTTCAAAGAACCTTTGCAGGAAGAATGAATGAGCTGCAATTCCCGGTCTAGTGAAAATAGAAGGGTGTGTCAAGTAACGTTAAAAGCTACGTGGGCCTCAAATATAGGCTAGCACGAGACCCAGGTAACCTGCAAGGCAGAAAGCAACAGCCGGACGGGCGCGAAGCCCCCCATGCCCTTGTCCCGTTCCGCGCAGGCTCCACCCGTCACGCACACCCCTTTCCCCGCCTTTTCCGGAGGCTCGTCGCGCGCATGCGCCTTTCAGTCCGCGCTTTGTTGCGAAAGCAAGGGGCCAAGGTCCTGCGGTCCTGACGCGCCGCGCGGATAGACGCGGCGGGCGGGGCAGAGGATGGAGGCGGTAGCGTCCGCTGCAACGGTTGGGGCTGCGCGTGAGAAGGTGGCCGTGTAGGCACCCGGGCTGGGTGGAGGCCGGCGTCGGCGGCCGGACCATGGCGGGAGACCGTGTCTGCTGGGCTCCCTGAGGCGGACTTACCGAGGTACCCTCCCTGAAATCCCGGGGAGCCGTGGCCCATGGGCTCGCTGAGCAGCCGAGTGCTTCGCCACCCGGGGCGAACCCAAGCCCAGCAGGAGCCGGGGTCTGGGGCCGGGGGCTCGTCCCGGAGGCCGGAGACTGGCGGCGATGCGGCCGGCCACGGCTTCTGTTACTGCCCGGGCACTCGCAAGCGCAAGCGGAGCAGCGGGGCCCTCTGCTACTGTCACCCGGACTCCGAGACAGACGAGGATGAGGAGGAAGGGGACGAGCAGCAGCGGCTCCTCAACACCCCTCGTAGGTACGTTGGGAGACGCTCCGGAGCCTGCTGGGCGGCCCACGCAGCCCGGCCAGGGGACGAACCAGGTGCCCGGTGTGCATGGTGGGCGGCGGCGGGGGGAATCGGCGCTTTCCCAGCTTGCGAGGAGCGGACATGTCCTTGACAAGGTAAACGTGGGAGCCGACTTGTTGCAGGGAGGTTGGGGAGTACTTTGGGAGACGCCTGGTGTTCTGGATTATAAACCACAGACGCTTCCGGAGTGATGTTATAGACCAAGACGAGACTGAGAAACGCCAAGCTGAAGCTTGCGCCTCATTAAACCTCAGACTCGACCAGCACGCTGGCCTTCCGTAATACACCTTTGTCCTCTCTGAGTGGGGACAGTAGAATAAGTTGTTTTGCATCGATTGCCTTAAATAGTACAGACACGTAAATTTAGTCTCTGAGATAGACACCCCTATTATCGTCCATTCAGTGCAGGGGAAATGATTACACACAGTTCTCTTCAACGGTAAAAGTTAAATTTATCAATAGTATACTCTGTTCCTTACTGAGAATAGCCATTCAAAAGTCTCTAGCATTTGAACGTTGACCGTGGATGTATGTAAGGCCGTGCTGCAGCTTGCTTAACCTTTTTTCGAAGAGTTGAAAACGAGGGTATTTACCTGTGAACAAGATGTAGTTTATAAGTAGAATATGTTTTCACATAAACAGTCTGGTTGCTTTGTTTTTAAAAGTCATCAGTGGAGTCATATAGATGTAATTTTTTGATAAAATTAAAAATTATTCAAAAATTTTTTTCTACATAAGCATTTATATTGTAAAATAAATGGTAGATAACATGTTAATAGATTTACAAAATTTTTCATACAGTGTTACGTAATATCTGTATTTATTTACAGAAATGAATCCTGTCAATTGTTCAGTTACCATTTTGGAGAGTTAGTGTAGTATACTTTTAACAGCTCAGATTCTGAGTTCTAGTCTGTATTCTGCACATAATAGCCTTATTTCCTTATAAGTAAAATGGGGATACTAATACTAGGGTTTGACAGATATAAGAATGCACACAATACACGGTGCCTGGTACAGAAGCACTCAGTCAATACTATGTCTCCTTGTTGAATTGGCTGCCTTTATCATTACAAAATGCCTCTCTTTATCTTTGGGAATCTAGCCACCACAATTATCTTTTGATAAGTGTTTAAAAGGTACATCTTTTTCCATCCTTTCCCTTTTTGCCTGTGTCTGTATATTTAAAGTAGGTATCTTGAAGACAGCATATAATTTGAGTCTTGTTTTTCAAAAATCCACTAGGATAATCTCTGCAGTTTACTTAGTATTTATGCCACTTATATTTAATATGTCATTATTGAAATATGTATGTTAGGGTCTATTTGAAAGAGATTCGAACACAGTAATTTCAAGAGAGATTAGTTAATATAAGCATTATTAGCAGTTAACCGGAATTTAAGATAAACCACTAAGATAAAGAGATCTCTAGAAAATACAGTAGTAGAGAATAGGGAGAGTCACTCCTCAAGGGCTGAAACAGAATGTTGAAGGAAGGAACAAATTTGGAATAGGGCCGCCTTTTCCAACCTGAGATTCAGATATTGGAAGAGGAGTGGCTGTAGCCCGCAAGATGGAGAAGTTTGCTGAAGTGTTGGTAGGCTAAGGCTGGCAAGCAAGAAACTGCCCACTAGGATGCCGACAAAACTTGCTTGG